GGTGTCTAAAGTAGCAAGAACAGGTGTGAATGCAAAGAAATGAAATGAGGATAGATATAGATGAGCTCTAACACTTAGTCATGGAAGCAAAAGAAAAGGCAGCATGGGTCTAACTAAGAAGAGCTGTCCCAACAGGACACCAGGGGAAAATGGTCCCATGAGCTGCAGAGGAGGTAAGCATTTAAAGAAAGAGGGGAAGGTTCAGCTGTGCCACATGCTGTGGCAGGGCTAAACACAATGAGGGTCAGGATTTGTAATCATAGAACGTGGCACAGATAAGAGAAGCATATGGGAGGAGACATGGCTCTGCAGGTAGGCGTGGAGCCTGTGGGAGAACCCAGAGACACTGCCTCTGACTGCGTCTTCCCATCACCAGGGACAGTTGATATTTCTTCTGTTGAATGATGTCTTGTTATTTTTGTTAGTATTGCAAAGAGGGGGATTTGCCTATTCTCCCTTTCCTTTATCAGTGATGAGTCATGAATGTCATCAGCATAGGATTCACATGCTGGTGGATTAATTATTGCTAATTTTCTACTTGGATGTAATAAACTTGTGCCTTTCCTATAGGCTTTAAACCATTTTCTGAACTGCCATGAGCTATTTTGTTCTATAGTATACTTAAATGTCCTTGAAGCCAGACACACTGGATTTGAATCCTGGTCTCATCACTCAGTAGAGGGTAACTTTAGCCATTTTATGTAACCCATCAATGCCACCACTAAACTCTTCAATAAAACAGAAAACACTTTATAACTCCGCCCACCCCATCCAGGGGTGCTTTGAAGATTAAATGACATATTTTTAAAATAGTTAAACAAGTACTATACATACAATAGAATAAACTATATTAATTATAGCTACAACTACACAAACTATAATGATTTTTAAATTGAATTTGAGGATAATTATTGCATTCTGTTTTGGGTGAAAAGTGTGACATTTATTTACTCAGTCTTGTCAGATACACAAAACATAGATGGCAAAGATTTCCATTCCTAGTCCACCTCTCAGGACCAAATCATCAACCATTCCACTGTAAATAAATATGCTTTCAGTCATTATATACCACATGTAACATTTATTAATTTTCTTTACTCAGTATAGGAAGTCATTTGCTATTGTATTTCAATTCCTTGACAATGTTCTATCCTCCAACAAACTCCTCCTTCCCAGAAAGTCAAGGGTAGGTCGGTCAGCTTGAGTTCACTTTTGATTCCTGCTACATGTCTATATCCTCTGGTATATCAAAAGTTTCACATTCAATGGCACTATTCAGGATTTTCAGAATTTGATTGCTGAGAATCAGTGAGATGCTGAGAATCAGCAGGTAAAGTGCTTGTCATGCAAGCCTGATGATATAAGTTCGATTCTCAGAATCTATGTAAAGGTGGGAGGAGAGAACTGATTCCAAAAAGTTGTCCTCTGGCCTCTACATATGTGCTATGGTATACATGTGTCCCCTGCCCCCACATCATAATCACACACAATAATACATAAATAAATAAAATTTAATATTGACTGAAAAACTGAAACAGTATGCTCCAGATTGGCAATCAGCAAATGCTATCTGGGAGGTAGAAGCCTTGAGGTTCTTCCCTATCTGCCATCCATATGTCCTGGAGGGTCTATATAATGAGCTACAGGCCAGCTGGAGCTATAGAGAGACACTACCTCAAAATCCAAAACAAAACAAAACAAAAAACCAAAATTTGTCCTCTATCCCTGAAGATTTTCTCTTTTAATTAAAATGAAGCCTGATAGGCAAAATCTTGGGCACATGAAGCAGTTGTGTGATTCACTCAACCATTTGTATGCATGTATGACCTATTTAGCTTTTAAAATCCCATTTAATGCCAAAAACTACATTAGAAAATTCAAACAAAAGCTCACAGGGAGTCCCATAATGAGACTGTTTTGATTATTCCAGTGATTAGTCCATTTCGTCTCTCTCTAGTAATTTCATTTAGAATAGTAGTCATTTTAAGAACAAGTAGGTTTTTCTTATTTCTTTTCTAGTTTGCTCTGAAATTGGCAAGTAGCCAACCATCTGTGAAACTGCAATTATTACTGTTACTTAAAATTTATCGAACCTCTTCAGGTACCATGGAAGCAATTCTTGCCAACAGAAACAAGACCAGCAAAATAGATATTATCACTCCATATTTCAATCTATTAGCCTGAAGTCCCTAGAAATAATATAATACTTGTGGACGTTGTTTAGCATATACTAAGTGAAGAATGGTTTTGATCTACTGTTTGGCCTGTGGCAATCTACGTTTCCCCCTTTCCCTTGGTGTAGAACATGAAATCCTTTATGTATACACTTACTCATCATTTGGTATTTCTCGAAGTGCATGGGTTTGTCAGCCTCTACTATTATCTACTTCTGAATAATTCCAGAAAATCTGCCTCCTTTAAGCTCATATTTTTCATACTTAAAAAACAAAAAACAAAAAAACCTATTTAGCAATGAAACAGTAGTGATGATGTTTGGGATATTGCCAATGGACACCTCTCTTTTTTCCACTACACCTGATCCCATATGGTTGCAAGAAGGAGACCTGAGTAGTTTGATGGGAGACCAGGCTAGAGCTGCCCTCCAGGAATGAGACTCCATCAATAGCTCACCATGGTGGGTGGGTGGACAGCTTTGTCCTGCTGTTCTGCCTCAGACAATGCCATCTAGTGGTGGGAAGACATAGTTCTCCACTGTACTGCCAATCTGAGAGGGTAACTATATTTCCATACTTGGCATAAATCAGGTCTACACTGTCTATTCATAGTTACTAATAATGCCTGATTTTGCATTGGAAGTACTACTTGACTGGATAATCAATTACAAGCTCAGCCTATTTAATGTCCTATTTTAGACTTTGCATTTTAGGTGACTTAAACACATTTTAACTTGTGCCATCAAGTTTGAAATAACAAGTTCAGGAAGATTACTTTCCTTTGTGTGAAGTAATATTTACCTTTTCTATCCTGAAATGGTTCTTCAAGCATTATTGGAATGGTCTTAAGTTTAAAGCTAACATTGATGAATAAGCTCATTTTCACACTTTATAGACTTACCTTATCCACACCAGCCCTTTGTCCATCTAGATGGATAGCCTTAATTTTTCAGTCTATTCTAAGACATCTCCTCCCTCTGATCATTTGTTTTCCTTGCTCATCAGACTGCTGTAGTATTTGGAGGAGACATGTCTAGCTGTCTGAAGAGTGATGGACAGTGGTTTGCCCTGAGGAAAGGTCATCTGGGATTTCCAGGGCTTCCCAGCCACAGTATAATTATTTTGAATTAAACATTTTTGATCACATGGAGAATGAATGGCCAATATCTTGTGTGGGTGGCTCATAGGGAGCCCTCTCTTTATGCATGTCTAAGCAAGAAAAGGAAGAGAAAATAAAGGAAGGAAGAAAGTGAAATCAGAATGCATAGTTAAGAAAATAAAGATTAAAACTGCTGTTTGTCAGTAAGGAAAGGCTTTTTTTTTTGTCTCCATTTTACTCCTTAACCTGAGAGATGTTACACGTTGTAAAAGATATTTTTGAAAGTTCTCTAGAAGCTTACATTTGAATGGACACAGTGAGTTCTTCCCTTTTAAGAACAAATATTTTATAGGAATAAGAAAAATCCTCAAGGATAGAAGAAAAAAGGAACATTTTTGTAATAGAATTTCTTACCCTTGTGCTTTCCATTTATGGTTTAGAAGATAGATTCTATCAAAATAAGATTTACAAGTGCCTTCCATGTGCAAGGTGTTTGGCTGGGCACTGAAAATAAATAAGCTGGATCTGGTTTCTGCTATTATTTCACGCATTACAATTTGTTTTCTTGTGGGATATCAAGACAATATAATCAATCACAGCCACCCTGCATTTTAGTTTCTTTTTCTATTTTCCCTCATGCTAATCGTTATGAAGTTTGAGTGCTTCCTTATCTTACAGTTGCAGTAGCTCCCTGGCATTCAGGGAGCCAAGTTCTTTCTCTTAAGAAATATGACAAGTCACTGGGGAAACAGGTAGAGCATAGCATACACATTGATTGTCTATGTTAATTTGGCCTCAGTTCTTTGGAGTTCAATTGTTTGGCCATTTGGACGTAGGCTGTGCTCAAGTTCAACTTCATTTCATCTTCGTTCAAAGAGCTTGTTAAATAAAATGAACTAATGCTTCAGAGAAAGATTTGAGTTTTTTGAGGAAAGTGTTTTTCACACTGTGAGTCACATTTTTGAAGCAAATTATTTATGTTAAGTACGTGCTGTTCGTTTTTGAAGGCAGATCATCATGGGTCTCAACTTTAGAGCATCATGCAAAGCACTTTATAAAGTGTGAGACTGTTCCTTTGTGCTGGGAAAAATGATTTTTTTTCTTAAAAATATTCTGAATATATAGCTCAGACACAGAGTCATCTTGGTTCATTTAATTTTGAAGGTCTGACTGTGAACATAAGTGCCGAGAACTCATAAGCGCTATAAATGTGTACACAGTCTGTTCTGGGTACTTAAGGGGTGGAAGGGTGAGAGCAGTCAGCTGGGGAGGGGTGATTGTCAGACTCTGTAAGTTCTGAGGAGGAATACTGACACTCTGCTCTGTAATGGTCCAGTCTGGAAGAATGTTCGTTGTTAGGTCTGCTGGTACAGCAAGGGCAGTATATCTAGAATTTTCTTCTTCAAAAGAAACTTTTTCTCGGGGGGGGTAGATTCACATTATCCTGCCCATGTTTTCAATGTGGACTGGAAGGTTGTATCCACACAGCCTCTTCAGTACCCTAAGAAATAATTTGGCAAATTACAAGTGTGTTTAATTTGGTTTCTTCTAACTATAGTTCATAAACCAACTGTGCCCTTCCTAATTTGGAAATATTTTCGCTCTGGTTTTTATTTTGACATGTGCCCAGCTATCTGCTTTTGTTGCTATTTCTGGCATCTCAAGGGAGCTGCTGCCACGGTTGTCATAGTGCAGACAAACACACAAGAAAACCAGAAACCCAGTGCTTTCATAAAGCATTTATTTTTATTTGAAAACATTATGCAGGCATTACATTGCCACAGCCAGTCCATAGGGGAGCATGCAAATATCAAAAATGGATAGTTTGTTCAACTCATCAGTGTAAATTTCTCTTTTGGTTCATATTTTCCATTTGTGGGATTAGGATTAGTGTGCTTTGTTATGTGGTGTGAAGATAGACTCCTACCCATGGGGTAAAATCTGTACTGATAACTAGCTAGGGACTACTAAATGGTTACAAATCAAAAATAAATCCCAAACAAACAATACTATAAGCTTGTCAAAAGGTTAATAGCACAAGTTAGCAATATCTAAACTAAACATTGAAACATTTTCATGGGACACAGTGGTACAAAGTTTTCCATTGCTTGGTCTACCTGGATATGTGTTTGAAGCTGTGGGGAGGTATGACCAAGGCAAGCTCTGTCCCCAGTGCAGATTTCCATCAAGGAAACGAGAGCCACCTCTTACCTCTGCAGGTTCCAGAGCACTCTGATTTGCTCTTCATTGAATTTTATACAAATTACTGTTCTCATTCATTGAGAGAATGGCGGTGGATTGAAATGCTGAAATTCTTGCTGGTGTCTACTGAGGTTATGAAATCTCAGAAACGAAAACTGCTACAGTTAATATTGCTCTGATCCCACTTCCCACCCCACTCTCAAATGATCAGTGTTTTCATACTGAGGAAAACATTTCTTTGCTACTTTCTGTTTTTTCCTTAAGGGTCAATCTGAACTCCTGATCTTGGACAAGTCAATGTTTCCAGCCTTTCTAGAGACAAACCAACACAGGTGAGGTAACTCAGTGATACAAAAGAATGGTTACAAGGGCATTGGATGACCAAGAGTATACAGTGAGTTCATCTTGACATTCACACTTGATTTCTATACAATGGAGTCAATTAAAACATCCTATAAAACAGTTCAGATGGCAGCCATTGGCTAATTCAAACCTTGAAATTTAAAAAATATTCCTAGCCCACTGAGTGGACTTGCAAATAATTTCAGCGACTTATTTCCTGTAAGAGTTTACTGAGTGTTTACACAAGAGTGTCATAAAAATGAATCAAAAAGACAACAACATTTGGCTTAAAATAAATAGTAAAAATGCAATAAATCAAGCTAATTATGCAAACCAAAGGAATGTAAACACAAAAATAAAACCACAGTCTTTAAAGGTCTTCGGATCTGAATGGACAAAATATTCAGAGAAAGGTATTTAATTGGCTTAAAAGGTAGCAGAGAGAAGACAGATGTTGGTAAGGTCGCCAGGATGTGATGTAGCTTTAATGAGAACTCCCCTCCCACCACCCTGCGCCCCATAAAATGAAAACTGTTTCTAAGGGACCTAAACTGACCGGGAAATCTTCATAACAGAGAAAGGTTTTCTTCCCGTTCTGAGGACAAGACTAAACAATATATTAGAGAATAAGTTATGACTTCAAAGAAAGCACATTTTAAAAACTGTGAGTCACATTTTTCAAGCATACTATTTATGTTAAGTACGTATTGTTCCAAGAATTTATCAAAGCAGATCATAATGGATCGTCACTGAAGAAGGCAGGTGAGGAGGTCACAGGCATGCTAGTGGATATTTTGACTGCCAAGTTTAGACCTTATTCAGGCCCTACTCTGCAGGCTATCCTTACTTTATGAGACCCCATGGGTGTTCTGTTTTGCTTTATTAATTAAATATGTTGATTTGAATTGCCTCAAATTTCACAAACATTTATATAAACCCTGTAACTTCAAAAAAGATCCTTTTGAATGATATTGAAGACATCCAAAATTAAAGGATACTTCTATACTGACATGTGAAATCTATTGCAAATTATAAAGCTCTGTGGTATTTCTTAATTTCCATGTTGAGGGGGAAAAGACTCTTTTGAGGACATCAGAATTGATTAGACTAGTGATATATCAAGCCTTATCAGGACACCGTAGTAGTCCGTGTCTGTATGAATGTTGTATCCTGATATTCTTCTGGTTCATGGGTATCACTATCAAATGTGACCAAAATGCCAGACAATGTGTATAAAATGCCAGTGGTAAAGATGATGACATCTTTACCACTATTAAGTAACCATAGCAAATGAGCTACCAACAGAGACTGCTCTTCCCCAGCACCTTGACGCTAAGAGGTGGCGTAATCAGTGGTGCTCCACAATAAAGATAATGGCCATGCTAGCACACCTCCTAAAAGGTATCATAAACTAAGAGGCAGAGGGCCATGGCTTTTCTAGTGCCTTGATTAATTTACAAGTGATCATTGAGAAAATATAGAAGAAAAAAAAAAGAAAAACTAGTTTTTGAGGAGAGGGATATAGAAAAAAAATTAAAGAAATAATCCTAAACATAAATGATATTAATTCTAGTTTTCCTGTAAGCCACAGAAATGGAGCAGTACTTATCCTGTAATCACAGGGCTTAATTAGCTGAGTCATGTGGCCCAACAAAAAGGCAATGGCCTGGAGTAAGCAGAGGTTGAAATATAAAAAGGCTAATGTGTTTGCTTTAAATCTATTCCTAGAATAGAGAATTATATGGTCAGTTGCCCCTCCCCACAAGGGTCACAGCACAAAATCCTTATTGAGCAGGCAATCCAACAGGCGACATAAGAAACTATTAGCCACAAGGTCATTAGATGAGGAAACTTCTCATGGATGGAGGTCCTGTGGCATGCACCACTCACACAGTCTGTGCAAGAAAATAAAGTATGATTCTTAAAAAGTGGCTTGCCATAGAAAAGTGGGGTTTATGTTGACTACACGTGGGTCTGGCAATAGTTCCCATGAGGAGAACAAAACCTCCTGAAAGTCTGTGTAATAACAGTAACAATAATAATATAAATCATAGTAACAATAATACTTGCTTTTGATTCAAAAATTTTCGTAGTAATTAATGTGGGGGTACAAGTTTTGGTCAGGATACACACTAGCTAGGCATCTCTCCAAGTCAGGTGGAAGGGAGTCTGTGTCTCTGGTGGTCTTTAGCTTGTTTCTTTTACAAGCTTTTGAAGGATTAGCTACCTTGCAGTTCACCTATGTAACTGCACCTACTAAATACCTTTCTCTATGTACAATTACAGAGATGATGGGTGAACACATGGCCTCTGAGTTGTCCTCAGTGGGCAGGGCAAGCCTCACTCTAGGCCACTCGCACGTGGGGCTCCTCTTCTGTCTCCTGGCCCAGGCTGGTGTAGGTGACTGAAGGCTCCACCTGAGCTGTGTTGGGTAAGTCCACAACAGGTCCGGAAGGATTGCGGAACTGCTTGTACACCCGGGGGTCCTGGGCTATGTACGTGGAGGTGGAGGAGTAGAGCACCAGCCCGATGAGGATGGTGAAGAAAGACAGGAGATAAAGTCCTGAAAACTAAAACACAACAGCAAGGTGATTTAGCAGCAAAGCATAGCTATGGACAGGTTAATGGGGTCCAAGGCAGGAAGAGATGCTTCTTAGAGGAGCGGGCAACTTGATGAGGTGGCTAATATTCTTAATGGAAAGTGAATTTTCTCCTAAACTGCCTTTGTCTTATTGACTCTCTTTATCTTTTTTATTCTACACCCTCTGTTTAACAGAACACTTAGCTAATTGTCCCTGAAATGACAATCTTAGTACCTGATATGTTTGGGACGGCTACTTAAGCAGAAATTAAAATACATCAAGTTCAAAACAAAAAATCTACAACATTACTCAGTAAAGAGTTGGTTGTTTGTGGCCTCATTAAACTCAGAAACAATATAGATGTTCCTTTTAAGGTCATGATGAAGCAACAGACACAACACTCTGTTTCACCTTAATCCAATACAGACATGATTTGTCTTCCCAGTAGGAACTGTTATTGACTTCAGTAACTATCTTTGAGAGATTAGATAATCCCTGGACAGGGAGAAACAGCAAAACATTCCTTTCCTCATTCTAATAAAAAAGCAAACCAAACAGGGCTGTATATACTGTATTCTTCTTCCTGAACTGCTTCCTTGACAATTCAGTGTGTGTGTGTGTGTGTGTGTGTGTGTGTGTGTGTGTGTGCATAATGTGGCTGTCATATCTTTATACAAGTATCATGAATGTTTTTTGAAAAGTTACAACTTTTGGACTGTCTTGAAGAGCTATACTGCAAGTAGTCACGTGAGTCATCCGTAGAGAGGAGCCAGGTAAAAGGTAATATTGTCATTTTCCTCGTTTCACTCACTTTTTACTCATTCATTCACCTTTTCACCCAATACACAGTTTCTCACAATGCCTTCTGTGTATGAAATGGTCAACTGTGTACCAGGGAAAGAGAAATGAAAAATATGGTTGATTCCTGCCACCAAGGACTTAATAGTCTCTGGAGAAACAGGGGCATGCTAAATCAAAACAATATAACACACTTAGGGCATGCAGTAAGGGCCAAGTTGTTGAATGTTGAATTTCAGAAAGAAACTTTGGAGTTTCTGTCTTCTCAGTCTTGAACACATCCTGCATCTATGAGACAAAGGGGATAAGTTTTATTTTCATCATCTATTTTCTACGCTCATTATCTAGAAGAACAAGCACCTGGTAAACACTCAAAGATGCTTTGGAAGCTGGAAGGATGGAAGATAGGAAAATGACCCAGAGAGCTTTATGGGAAGTTACATGGCTACTATGGAAGGTCTAAAAGGATGGCTATCGTTGGTGATTCAGTGATAGGAAAGACAATCTTGTAAATGACAGAAAAAGGACCTTTGTGGCTAAAAGTCTTGCTGCACTATTTTCCCCCTCTATTTTTCCTTTCTGCAAGACCAAGGTAGCTAAGACTAAAGGTGATTTTCTTTCTACGGCATTCCTCACTCTGTTCCCAGATTCCTTTAATTTCCACATTCAGGCCATATGCTAACGCTTCCTTATGTGGATTTGTATAATAAACTCAACTTGGAACAGATTCAGTTAATTAACTTGAAATAATTAATTCAGTTTTCCCTAATGAAAATAAATGTACCTTGTTCTTTGATTCATGCATTTGTAGAATAAAATGAGAGGGAAAGAAGAGTAGCATCATGGTACATGAGCTCAGAAAGCCTGTTTAACTCCAAATTTGCCTTCTGAAATTCGACATTCAAGAACTTGGTCCTTTAGCTGATACTGTAGTGCACAAAGTGGCTTTGTTCCTAACATTATCACATTTTAAATGTTATGTTTTTGACTTTTGACACCCTTTTCATGTGTTTTTGTGAAGTCCCATGTGTGGCCTTTGGTGTGAGCTGCAGATAAAGATGGGGAGACGGGGGCTGGAGACATGGCTCAGGGGATAAGAACACTGGCTGTTCTTGCAGAAGACCTGGGTTTGAATCCCAGCACCCACATGGCAACTAACAACTGTCTATAACTGCAGTTCAAGGGGATCTGACAGTCTCTTCTGTCCTCCATGGGCATTGCACGACATGACACGGGTATACTTACCTACATGTAGGCAATATATGCATACACATAAAATAAAAATAAATAATAAAATATTTTTTAAAAAGATGGGGAGACCAACAATGGGGTTTGCAGTTACCACTGCCTCTAACCCCCAAACTAGATCAAAGTTCTACTCATTTTTAGCTGTAATTCTTGACAAATTTCTTGTGTGTTCAAGGTCCAAATGTCCATATCAATCAAGTGCATTTACAGTGTATGATAGCTCTAAAAATTAAACAAATAAAACATGTAAACTATGTATAATACCTGCCCTGGTGTAAACATGCAATTAATATTAGTTCATTGGTGCTGTTGTGTTTATACCATTTATAAGGCTCAGCTCTGTTTTGGACATGAAACTATAAGATGGAGCCCTAAATCTATGACAGGATGTTTTCTTGGGCCTGGCTTCAGAATAATAGTGCTTAGTGTATTTCCAATTCATTTGCTTATTTCATACAGAATTTTCTGTAAACCTTGTTCAAAAGATTGATAGCATGGAATTTTATATAACAGAGGCATCTTGGAATGTTGTATTAATAGACAGAAGAGAAATTTTCATTTCCCCAAAAAGGGAGCAGCCAGGCAAGCACTATGATTGGCCAGGGTAAATACTGAATGTTATAAGTGATGACAGGAACATTTGACTTACTTTTCAAGAAGCAAGATGTTTCATTTCTCCTGTACTTTTAGCTTCATAGGAAAAAAAATAAGAAACCTGATGAAGAGCACCTAACGGAATGCTCTCTAGTGAAAGGTGTGCATTAGAGAACATTTGCTTCAGAAAACAGTCAAGCAAACAAAACGTCCCTGTGGGCCTGGATGCTCAATTTATTAATTGCAGAGGTGTTCTAATTTTCTGTTCTGTAAGCAAAGAGAACAGGAACTTCTCTGGAACATTTGATGAGACTGAGAGTTCTGAACTTCAGATAAGGCCTGTTTGTCGGAGGCTTGTGTCCATTGAGGAAGGGGGCTGCTGTCTGGGTGTACTCTACGCCTATCCCCTTAGCCAATGGAAGCCCTCAGAACATTCTGTGCTGTAGACACACAATAACCTGCATCTTATCTGCACTGCAGGGGAGAAGCTGAGAAAAAACATGCCCTGCTTGGGCACCGGCACTGTAGATGTTTTGCTGTTGCTGTTTTCTGTCTTCACATGTCTTTGTGAAAGGGACTGGAAAATACCTGTATATTGACAAACACAGTTCACTAAGAAGCAGCACTTGTAATGGAGTGGGCTTGGAAGGCTGCTGATAAGCCAGAGCAAAACTCTTTAACTTCAGCTAGGAGTTAAATCCTGCTTTTAGAGTTGGCATGTGATTGCTATTTAGTTAATGTGGCATTCAGCATATCATTAAGGACATATCAAATTTTCACTTTATTTTTGGCATTAGACATGTAAGTTGAATCTTAATAAACTTGTGATGTTAATAGGTTTCAACCTATACAAATAGAAAAACTTCATAGAGTCAGACAGACTATATTTATAAATATATCAGGGGTTCCCCGGGTGTGGTGGCACATGCCTTTAATCCCAGCACTTGGAAGGCAGAGGCAGGCGGATCTCTGTGAGTTCAAGGCCAGCCTGGTCTACATAGTGAGTTCCAGGACAGCTGGGGCTATAGGGAGACCCTGTCTCAAAAAGACATATATATATATATCGGGGTTCTGGAGTAAGATGATGGATTTTAAGTTTAATCATGAATTCTGTGAATGAGAAGAGTCAGGATAATAGAGGAGAGACTGTATTATAAGGAAAGAGATAGAGAAGGAGGGGGGGGGAAGGAGAGGGAGAGAATGAGAATTAGGAAGAAAAAGATGAGAGTAGCTGGAAAGAAAGGAGAAACAGTCAGACTGGCTAAGATCAAGAGAACAAATGATACCAAATGCTGGCCAGGATGTGCAGAAAGGGGAACGCTCATTCACTGCTGGTGGGATTGCAAACTCGTGCAACCCCCATGGAAAGCACTGTGGAGGACTCTTAACAAACTAAAAGTGAATGTACTATATAACCTGGTTATACCACTCCTTGGCATATACCAAAAGGACTCATCCTATTGCAGAGACACTTGTACAGCCATGTTTGTTGCTGCTCTTTTCACAACAGTTAAGAGATGGAAGCAACCTAAGTGTCCCTCAGCTGATGATTGGTTAATGAAAATGTGGTACATTTCTGAGTTCTACTCAGCAATAAAGAAAGATGAAATAAAGAAATTTTCCAGTAAATGGGTGGATCTTGAAACTGAGTGAAGTAACACAGACTCAGGAACACAGAAGACGTATGTTCTCCCTCATTTGTGGATCCTAACACCAAATCCTTATAAATGTGTGCATATCCTGATGTAACTGCAGGAACCAGGCATATGGAAGGAAACCAGGGAGGTAAAGGGAAAGAAGGAAACTGAGAGAACAGAAGAAGAAAGGTGATGCTAAGGGAGAAATATGAAAAAAGGGGGTAGTTAAAGGGGGAGGTGCCGGGAAGGAGGGCTATACAAAGAACTATGGGAATAAAGGGGGAAAATTCTCCCCATATACAGTTTAAACAAAACCTAAAGCACAGTAACTATGGGACCAATCAAATATATATGGATTCAAAATGAAGTTTAAACAGTGGAGAACCTCAGGCTATGGAGGTGTGCTGGCAGTAGCCTGAACTCCTAGAGCAAGGAGCTAGCTCTGTCACCTCTGGGTCACTGCAGAGACTGTAGGTCTGTGGCTGGTGGACGGTGGACTGTGGGCTGCGACCCGCCCACGTGTGGTTGGCTTTTAACTGAGAATTCTAAGCCCAGGTCCAGCACATTGCTCCACTCTCACAGGATGGTTTAGTGCTGGGCAGGATTTGAAAGCACTGAGACAAGCAGCCAGAGTGCTGGGTTTCCTTGGAACGCCCTCTTCAGGGAGGAAATTGGTGCTCTGCTTCTCTCACCTGGAGGGTACGCCTTAGC